CCTGCTGAGGTAGCTAAGTGTTCATGTCCCCCCAACCCAGACACAGGTTTAATCATATCATAGTTTTGGCCCCTTCCCCATCCTAGCTTCTGTACTCTGAGCCAGGGATTCTTTTAAAATTTCTCTGCTCTTCCCCAGGCTGTGTTTTCCTGGCAGGACCCCAGCTGGGTTGCAGGAGTTAGAAACTGCATGTAAAAATAAGGTTAGCATTCTATATGGAAGAAGAAGATTTTTAGAAAATCATTAAGAAAAACAAGAAGTGATTCTTGATTCATCGAGAACTTAGTTCTTCATGAATCATAGCTGGGTCCTTTCCAGAGCTCATTCTTAATAGATATTACTAGAGAAGGTGGGAGGGTGGGTCTAGAACTTACTCTAGAGCAACAATATGGCTATATAGGCCCCAGTTTCATCCTGGGGAGAAGGGCTGAGAGTCGTGGTCCATGTCTTAGAACTGAGATTCAGGAGGAAGTATGGCTCCATAAAAGTCTAGAACACCACACTCTAGAACTGGGTGTCTCTGGAATAAGGTTAAATCCGTGGTGACTGGAGACTGGTCCCAGTTCAGGCCAAAGCCAACAGCTAGACAGGGTTCAAATCCAGTCTCTCTCTGCTTGGAAACCAGGGGTCCATCTGGGTCAAGGATAGAAGCCTGGTGGACTCAGAACAGAGCCTGGCACCATGCCTGGATTCCAGCACAGAGCCCTAGTGCAGAAACGGCCCTGGCTGGGGTGTCTGGTATTCTAGAATATGTCCAGACCAAGGCAAAAGGTAGAGCAGGGAAAGGAGGAAACTAGGCCTGAGCTCCAGTGGACCCTATAAATCTATGGCTCAGTGGCAATGACAAGGGGCACAAGGCTCCAGGAACTGGCTGAGCCAGGAGTGGGGAATGGTCATACCCCGGCTCTGTCCGTTTGGAAACCCCCAGTGCCATCTCAGGAAAAGGCTTTGGGGTGTGTGAGTGTGGAAATAAATAAGTGACAGCCAGAACTATTTTCAGACATTTTCCTTTCTGACTCCCTCCCAGGCCCGAGGATCTAAGGGTCTCAGGAGCCCTGGGAGTCACAGCCAGCCCCTGGGCTTCCTCAGGGTAGAGCACCTGGCCGCTCGGGGTGTGTGTGTGTGTGTGTGTGTGTGTGTGTGTGTGTGGCAGCAAGGGTGAGAGCAGGGCCAGGAGCAGGGCTGGGAGGCAGGCTGTGGTGGTGGTCGGCTCGCTGGAAGTGCAGGGAGCCTCCTCTGGTCCAGGGACTACATTTCAGGGGGCAGGAGGACTGGAAGGAGAGGTGTCCGGGACACTGTGGAGAGAAGGTTCCCGGTACATGGCCACTGTGAAGGGAGAGAGAGAGAGGCAGGGAAGGAAAGTTAGGCACAGAGAGACCCAGGCAGAACCAGAATTCAGAAGGGGCTCCCTTCCCCTAGACCTGCCCTCCAGAAACCCCAAACGATGAAGGGAAGCTTCCCAAACTCCCAAAGGCCAAAGCTCGACTGGCTCGGCCCATCATCGCAGGTCTTCCGAACACTTACAGCCTCAGCTGTTTGTTTGTAAGTGTCCATGCCAAGGTCAACACCCTCCCAGGTGGCCCACCTTCTCGAGTCCATACCCACCCTCCAGGAGCTTGGGCACAAAGTGGGCGGCTGCCTTGGTCTTTTTGACTCGGTTTCCCTTCATGACTCGACCCTCCTTGTCCAAGCCTAGGTACCAGGCCCGGCCAGAACGGCGTTGGCGGTAGAGAGCAGAGGCGTAGAGGACATAGTAATTCTCAAAGACGCACTCCTTAAAGCGACACTCAGCTGTGAAATGTGGCTGAGGAGACAAAGACCCAGACGGGCCCACACAGACAGACAGACAAAAAGACACATCACTGAGCAGAAGGGAGCCCTTGGGAAGAAAGAGCCAGGTTATGACCCGCAGGTTTTCAGCGGGAGGGGGAGAGCAGCTTCCGAGCCCCGCGTAGGAGCTGAAAACACAGGGAGGACAAGGAAGAGCCTGGTCGGCTCCTGTGGGTTAAGACTAAACTTTGGGGGGCCTGGAATAAGAAGATCCCTCTTCTCCATTCTATTCCCAACCTCTCACCATCCCCTATCCTGAATGACTCTGAGAAAGTGAGTAATAAATTCTGGAGGAGGCAGGATGAGAAGGGCCTTACTGAAAGAGTTGGCCATTCAAAGAGTCTGGGGGCACTTGGGGGGGGCTGTACAAGGAGCAGGGGTTGGAGACACCCTAGAGAAGACCCTGAAGTGGTCAGTGAACAGGTCATCAGCAAAAGCTAGAGGGAGGAGGAAAGTGGGGCTGCAGAGTCTCTGCAGTTGAGGAAGGGTGTGTGCTGAGACACCCCCACAGCCCAGGCCGCGTGGCCTCATCGTCTCACCGAACTGTAGAGTAGCCCCTCTGCGTTCATGGCCATGTAGTGACCCAGCTTGGCGCTCTGGATGGTGACCACACGAAGCCCCACGGGAATCAGGTTGAAGTGGGCTGAGGGTGCAGAGAGGGCACATCAGGACCCAGGCCTCCGGGGCGCCCACCTGTGCTCCCCCCATCCCAGAGCCATTTCTCCCCTGGGGAGTCAGGGAGACAGACTGAAAACCACAGAACCTGAAGAAGGAATAGGATTGTCATCGCCTCTCCCAATTCTCCCCATTCCCACCCAGCAGCTGGCTTCCCCTCTCACTGAAGGAGCTGGTGTCCTCTGGGGTGCCCTGGATGCTCCCATCGGGATTCGCCTGGAGGTAGAAACCCTGGCGGCAGAACAGTTTGGTGACGATGCCTTTGAGCTGAGGCTCTGGAGAGAGAGACATTCATCTTTGAAAATGACATCTCTGTTCCCAGAAACATTCCTACACTTGGCAGGATCAGAGGAGAGAAAGAAGGGAAGATGGAGGGGAAGGAGAGGGTCCCAGAGTCCCAGCTTCCCTCCCTTCCAAGCAAGTTCTCTCCCACCTCTTTGACTCCCGGAGAAGCTGGGATGTGGGTCCCTTCTGTTTCTTCTAACCACGGAGCTGTCCGTTTAATTTATTGAAATTTATTTAAATGGCTTAATTTCTACACTACAGCTCAACCAGAAGGGGGGAGGGGAGCAGGAAGAGGAAGGGGGGGCTGATACATCAAAAGGCCATGCACAGAGGGACACAGGCAGGGCTACTGAAGGGACTGTGTATTTGCGAAGGAAGAGGTAGGGACAGCAAGGTGACCACAGGGCAGGGGCTCCCCCCTAGGAATGGGGGGGGTGGGACTGGGCCTGACGCTGACTCAGCACCTGCTGCTG